CTTTGTGCAATTTTTTTACTTCTGTGCTTCGTTTAATGCACGACTCTATAGTGTCACTGTGGAAGCTCTGTGCAAGCACTGTGCAAACATTTCACTCACATTTGCATCTAAAGAAAGACCTGCAGTAGAAACACATGCAGGAACAGGGGTGTGAATGAAAGATATGGCAACACTAAGCAAACTGGGGCTACAACGAAGATGATGCTGCCATAGTTTAACATGGAGTCTGTCTGCAGGCACACAGCAAAGAGCAAAAAGGTGGAGCCTGGACTGGACTGGAGCAGAAAATAGGCCCTGACAGTTTAGGTACAGGCAGCCAACCATGACTGCGCTACTGTTTATATCACGCATTATGTATATATATCTCAGTTTGTTTGTTAATTGATATTTAAACAGGTTGTAATCAGGTTGGTAAAGCTGTTGTTGGATTACTTACACTGCAACATGTACTAATTAAAAAGCCAGACTTCAGCTATGAGCAGTGTTCAGTTCTTAGAGTTATAATCATAATAAATGTGCAAGTAAAAAATCATCAGAACAAATATATTCATTTCACGGGCCCAATTAAATTCCTCGCATGTAAAATCAACAACCCGCGCATGTACAACTCAACAGCGGGCGCACAAATAAACCATTGCATACACAAGAGTGTCTGCTTTGCAGACGCTGCTACAGTTTTACACCCCCGTGGGTTGCCCCACAGAGAAATCTTGTTCACACTGACAAACTTTGGAAAAACAGTAAAGTGATTCGTCCCTTTGGCGGCCTCCCTCATGGTGAAGGAAACTGTACTGACTGACACCTTTCTTTGTGTAACCTTGCCTTTTTTTCATCTCTGGCACTTTACCACTTAAGTTTGTACTATTTCAAGCTTTTCATTAGACTTGAAAAAAATTGGGGTGCTCTAAAACTTTTGACTAGTAGTGTAAGTACAGTATGTATGTATGTATGTATGTAAAAGGTTGAGGTAATGAGCTAAGTGCCCCTTGTCTTCAGTGCCGAGCGTTACCAAACAAAGTGTTGTTTGTGAATGCATAATGACAATGAAAAGATCCTTCCTCTTAATTTTTTTGTCTTTTCAGTTAATGAGAATTTCTCTTTATTTATTTAATGGTGAAGGTTTTAGGACCCAGAGGATCAAAGGGAGGGTATAAAAGAGGAAGTAGCAGCAGGCGCTCTTCTTCTCTCCTTTGTGCTGATGAGCGGCTGTGAACAAAGGTGATTTGGGAAGGTAATGAGTCTGAGAAGTTTTTCCTTTTCTCCTTTTGTCGCTCGTTCTCCCTAGTCTGCTTTAGAGTATGGGTCACATTTTAAAACAGATTTATTTATTTATTTATTTTTATTTATTTATTTATTTATTTTGCATTTGGGTTTGCTCTTTAAGTTAACTGGGCCAGGTGCAATATTAGTCGGGCAATGTGCAATCCCTGAGCTGGGGCTCACACCTTATAGAAAATTAGGCCTTGCCTAGATGCTTTTTGGGAATTGGTTTGCTGTGTTTATGATAACACGATTGCAGTGGTACCAATCATTTCCTTAGGGAAACATTTGCATGTAATAAAGTTGTATTTATCTGGAGTGGATTTGGGTTTTTAAGTAAGGGGCATCTGTTTTCTTCTGGTGAGAGCGAGTTACCAGGTGATTGTTACATTGTGGGCAGGTTGCACCATTCACCCTCACCCCTTACTCTAATGTTCCCGGTTAAAAATGACCGGTCAGTTTTAACAGCTCTTAAATTATCATATTTTTCACCACCAAATTCAGTTCAGTGGGTGGGTCAATGGGTTGTTCAGTGAGTCGTTCAGTGGTCATTCAGTGGGACAGGGGGAACACCACAGATGTAACAAAGTTGATTAAAACACTCAAAATTCAACGAAAGATGTGCTCATCACTTTTATATGTTCAAGTGCATAGTGTGGAGGATGTCATGAGGACTTGAGGCAATCGGATGTAAAACAATATTTACGAATTTTTTAATTTGTAAATCGAACCGAACACGACAGGAAGGTTAAAGAGACATTGTTGATTGTAAGTGATCTTTTTTTGTGATGTTTTAGTTTTATTGCAAACCTTATTTTTGCTCTTTTCTTTATTATATCATCATATCATCTTCATATCATATCATGTCACTCATATCCTGGCTAATATTGACCCCTTGTCTCTTTTATTCTGGGCTTGAAGTTTGTAATAGTAGTATCAAGGGCTTTGGTGGTTGTTGTGTGTTTTTGATCACTACACTTAGCCCAAGTTGAATGAGAAATCATCAGTGTTGCCAAGAGAGTCGGGGCTTGCAGGACGAAATGCAGGTGAATGACTAGATGATGATTCCCTTAATGAGAGCTGACGACGGAGGTGGAACAAGGAGGTGAACACTTCCTCTGAACAACAGGCGATGAGTCCAGGGCGGGATTGTATGGACACCTGTGCACAAGGGAGCAGAGTTAAACATGAAGACAGGGCGAGGGCAGAGCGGAGTGTAGACGAAGCCTAGTTACCACAGTAAGTGACTGAACGAACTGGCGATGAGTAGTAGGCAGCCCTGGCTTAAATAGGCCTCCTGTAATTGACAGCGGAGGGGGCTCAGGTGCGACACAGGCGGCTCCGAGAGTAGCCAGGGTACCATCCTGATGACCAAAATTGAAAACCCCTCAGCTGCTCCCAAAAACCATGACATACACTCAACAAAAATATAAACGCAACACCTTTGTTACTGCTCCCATTCCCCATGGGATGGACGTAGAGACCTAAAATTCATTCCAGATACACAATATAACCATCCCTCCCAAACAGTGGTCACAAATCAGTCCAAATGTGTGGTAGTGGGCACATCTGCTATATTGAGATAATCCATCCCACCTCACAGGTGTGCCACATCAGGATGCTGATCTGACATCATGAGTAGTGCACAGGTGTACCTCAGACAGCCCACAACCAAAGGCCACCCTGGAATGTGCAGTTTTGTCTCACAGCAAAATGCCACAGATGCCACAAGCAATGAGGGAGCGTGCAATTGGCATGCTGACAGCAGGAATGTCAACCAGATCTGTCGCCCGTGCATTGAATGTTCATTTCTCAACCATAAGCCGTCTCCACAGGCGTTTCAGAGAATATGGCAGCACATCCAACCGGCCTCACAACCGCAGACCTCGTGTAACCACACCAGCCCAGGACCTCCACATCCAGCAGGTTCACCTCCAAGATCGTCTGAGACCAGCCACCCAGACAGCTGCTGGAACAATTGGTTTGCACAACCAAACAATTTCTGCACAAACTGTCAGAAACCGTCTCAGGGACGCTCAACTGCATGCCCGTCGTCCTCATCGGGGTCTTGACCTGACTCCAGCTCGTCGCCGTAACAGACTTGTGTGGGCAAATGCTCACATTCGATGGCGTTAGGCACGTTGGAGAGATGTGCGCTTCACGGATGAATCATGGTTCACATTGTTCAGGGCAGATGGCAGCTGAGAATGTCCCAGTTCTTGCATGGCCAGCATACTCACCGGACATGTCACCCATTGAGCATGTTCGGGATGTGCTTGACCGGCGTATACGACAGCGTGTACCAGTTCCCACGAATATCCAACAACCTCGCACAGCCATTGAAGTGGAGTGGACCAACATTCCACAGGCCACAATTGACAATCTGATAGACTCCATGCGACGATGTGTTGCACTGCATGAGGCAAATGGTGGTCACACCAGATACTGACCGGTTCTGGGTCCCCAGACCCCCAATAGCGCAAAAAACTGCACATTCCAGGGTGGCCTTTTGTTGTGGGCAGTCTGAGGTACACCTGTGCACTACTCATGATGTCAGATCAGCATCCTGATGTGGCACACCTGTGAGGTGGGATGGATTATCTCAATATAGCAGATGTGCCCACTACCACACATTTGGACTGATTTGTGACCACTGTTTGGGAGGGATGGTTATATTGTGTATCTGGAATGAATTTTAGGTCTCTACGTCCATCCCATGGGGAATGGGAGCAGTAACAAAGGTGTTGCGTTTATATTTTTGTTGAGTGTAAAAATTAATAAAAAAAAAAAAATACAAAGCTTCAAAAACCTCTGAATTGAGATAAACTAACATGACTCAGTGCCACTGAGGACACAAAGGTTACATGAGCAATAACCTTACTTGGATATTAGCAATTTATTGATTATAAATAGGCGATCTTACCTTGAAGTTCAAATCTGACTGACTCAAATTCTAAATTGAATACATCTCACTGTAGTGAAAACTTTTTTATAACACATAGTTGAATGTGTGACATGGTTAGGTTTACATCTTGGGATCATTATTATTATTATTAATGTCATTATTATTGTTATCCTGAGTTACAGGGTAACAATAATGTTGATTACCTAAAGGAAACACTTCCTTTTGTCACCTGTCAGCAGTGTAAACATGCTGTGATACCCTGAGTTACAGTCAGAGGGCTTCATCGTACACTTATGTGCACCCCTGTCTATGAGGGTTGACACACTGCAATCTGCATACAGGAGGGCTGGCAAAGATCTCCAGCTAGCCAATCGTGAAGAGAAAAGCTTTCTCACTCCCTCCGAGGCCCAGGGCCATAACAATTATCATTATTATTATCATCATCATCATCATCCAAGTTTGAATGGTGATTACCTAAAAAATGAGTGAGCATTTTAAAAAAAAAAACGAAAAAAAAAAATGAGTGAGCACTGAGAAACATTTCTTTTTGTAACCTGTCAACAATGTAAACATGCTGATACCCTGAGTTACAGGCAGAGAGCTTCATCGTACACTGAAAGTTATTTTAAATTATTCCTGAAAAGTTAGTTTTGAACAGACATTGGGCTGCAAATAAAGGCAGCACCGGTGTAACTTAATAGTCATTCACACATTTATCCTCTATACGAGTTTGATCCTTTTTGATTTCTTATAAAAATACTTCACCCAGATTTAAAATGATGCCTTTTTAAAACCTAAAGTGTATTTTCCTACAAAAAACACAAAATGCACTCTGTGATGCTCCAGTTGTAATTTATTAGAACCACAATAACATATTAAATGGTTTACAAAGCACTATAGAGAGTAGTTACAGTCATATAGTTTAGCATGGGCTGCATGATGTTATGGTGATTAGCACCACGGCCTCACAGGAAGACAGTCCTGGGTGTGAATCCATCAGTTTCCTGGTCTTCGGTGTGAAGATTGTATCTTCTCCCAGTGCTGGTGTGGGTTCTCTCCAAGCTTCCACCCACAGTTCAATGATGTGCTGGGTTATATGGTTATTCTCAGATCTGTCTCTCAACAGTTCTGGCAATTTGTCCATAACTCCTCTCACCCTTTGACAGCTGGGATAGCCTCCAGCTATCTCAACCAGTTGTTGAGTTGTAGCTGGTACTACAACTCAGTACTTCAACAAATACTTCTCTTTTCTCTATAGCTGTTGGTGAACACATCATTAAACATTTTTTTCTGTATACCAGCACATCACAGTGTGTGTAAATATTGTCTCAAATCGTCCTTGCTTTTGCTATTTGATACATTTCTGACATTTTCAACCAAGAGATGATCTCAAAGCAGTTTATGTTGGTAACACCACTTATTTTGAGTATGAGTACATCTGCACCCAGTGTAACAATCACAATGGTGGCTGAACTCTGACTGTGAGGAAAAGAGAAAAAAATAACAGCACTGGCAGATAAAATACCCCAAATGCAGGAAGAATAAATGTCAAAAAACACAAAAACAAAGAAAGTAAATCTGATAAAGCACAAGAATCAATCAGGCACTCAGGAAGGAAAATAAAGGCATGAAATCAAGGCACATGATTCAGGTAAATTACCAAATTACCAAAACTATACGGTCATTATAAACACAGGAAAGAATAAACATGGAGATTACAAAGCAGGAACCACAGCTTAACAAATCCTTCATGCGATTCCCGAACCAAAAACATCATTATTCATTTAATCACATCTGTAGCTTTTACTTCATTATCATCTCAGGCATGAATAGTAGATAAATAAATGTGGTTTAAATCAGACATTTATAATTAAAATGTAATATAATTGCTAATTTTAAAACCATGCTTAGTTTCCCTTTATGCATGAGAAATGCTTTATGTATATCTTTGCCAAAAAGATATAATCCAACTTGTTTTATTTTTAATTGTTTTGTAAATTGCAGTGTTGATGTTGTTTATTCAGCCAAGAATTTTGATTGCAAGCTTCCTTTATGAAGCATCAATAATATTTGCATTGTGATGTGGTCTGTGGCACCTGTCTGATAGAGAACAATGTTTAGAGAGACTCTGGTAAGAAAACATCAGCATGAAATAATCAATAAAAATGACTAGGAGGAAAAACTGATGATGCCCTTTCATTTCACAATAATGATGTAAACTTTTGAATGTACTTTTTTCAGTCATTTCAAAGTCAATCATACAGTTCCTTATTATTTATTCTTTTAACATGATCGTGTTTTTTAACTTTTCCAAATCACTTTTCGATTAACCCCGGCTTCTCATATGGTGCTTACAGGTAGTTTTCTAAAAGAAAAAAAATTGCTTTGAATCAGAATTCTCATCTTTAGTCTGTTGCCTTATAAGGAATCTCATCACTCTCATGCGTCAAAAGGTTTAGAGTAAAACCTTTTGACACATGTGCTAGAAATCTGGACAGATGCAGCAGCAGAAACACTGGCTGTAGTACCCAGAGGGCCAGTTGTTGGATTGCCAGATGTGGTACTGTAATTTGGAACTGTGCAGGAAAGTGAGACAGATGTTCCAGGTGATGAGAAAGATTTGGAGCTGGGAGGGATTGGTGAATTACATGTGGAAGAAGAAGACTGAAGGGGTGGGGGTGGTTGTAGGACGAGTAGATGTACTCTTCTTTCTGTTTCACTTTTGTCGGCATTGGGCTTTGCAGGGACTTTCTGAGTAAAGCTCAGTGGCACTTTTGCCATTACGGCATTGTGGTCCAGGAAATGCTTCAATTCTCAGCTTTGTGTGGAGTTCTGCCAAGGTCTTGGTCTGCAGATATTTTGGGCCATCATCTGTGTTCTCACCCCAGTGTGCACTCGCCAACCAGCTCTCCTTACTTTGACTGTAACAGCAGAATGCCGACCACAGCACTGAAGGTATATTTATCCTTTGGTTGAGTGGGTTTTCATTGCCGGGCTGTGCTCCGATCACTACAAAGCCTTCTATTTGGTTATTGTTTTTAATGCAGTAATTATCCAGAATGCATTTAACACATCTCTCCATCAAGTTCCACCTACCATTGTTAAATCGTCTTCTTTGTGGAACAGCATTAGTCAGGGTATATGTAGAGTTTATGTCACCTTCTTCAGATCTATAAGAGCTTGGAAATAAATGCCCTCTGTCAAACTCTGTCTGTTTAGCGTAATCATTAGTTCCAGCCTGGTGGTCGTAGGTGATTTTCTTGTCTGCTGGTGTCATATTGGCATCACCAGTTTGGTTTTCAAGCTATAAAAGTGAAAATGATATATTAGTGATCCATGCATGGCTGCTGCAAAGTCGACTAAATGTACATTTACTAATTGGTTGATCAAAGTTGTATTATTTAAACATAATAACAGCCCTCTTAAGTTGTGAGCTTTACATATTTTAATGCTACCATTTAAAAAGGCAAACTTTAACTGACAAGACTGCTGTTACATAGGAAATATACAGACGTGTCCTATATCAGAAAAAATGGAAAATCTTTGTAGCGTCATCAACATATAAATGGGATCACTGAATATAAGTAATAAGTTAAAGCAGTAATACTTTATAATAATCTCGGACTATTCAGCATTAGTGAGGTATTAGTAAATGTTTCATTCATCATTTTTAAAGGATTACTCCTCCATAGTACGTAATTTGTAATTGCAGTCTTGAAATACTTTCATTTTGTTCTATAAATGCTTTATGTGGCAAAAATGCTCTACACATTAAATGCAGTCAAAGTACTGAACTAAAGGTTAATAACTGATTGAAGTAACCATGAATTACAGTATGAAATAAGTGTTAATAAAACCTTTATTAGATCGCTCACAAACAATGTGCTCATATCTTAATCGTTACGTATATAAATGTCAATGAAACTACTTTGTTAATCACTTATTCAGCCTCTCTAAATGTTACCATGAACGTGTTATACATGAGTTTATTAATTAAGAGAAAAATGTCTTACTCACTAATAGCATGACATTATTATAAAGTGTTACCATAAAAGTTACTTTTGTAGTTCACTGGAGTGCTTTAGTTGCAATAGCAGTAGCACAGCACTGTGGGTAGTTGGTTTAATTTTAGTGGTATACTAAGATTCACAGTAATAAATGTGGTAAGTATTATCATCACGTAGCACTGCATTATGAACATATTTTATTAAAGCTTAAAAAGATGTATTAAATCAGATGGCTGTTACTTATAATGATACCTGTGGTTCAATCTTCCAACGACTTCCCTTTCCCTCGCCTCCACCTCTGTACTCTGCAGCAGAAAAAACTGGAATCCTGTTCTTGGTGTCGTACAGCGTCACAAACCTCCTGATGTCTGTCAAAGTCTGGCAGATCACTTTGTATCTGTTCTGGTCCTTGATGTTCCCTCCCTCCAAAATATCTGGGATGTTTGGTGGAGTTTTCTCAAGAAAAGACTCATTACATTGTGCCACTGATGCCACCACTGCAGTTTCAGTGGGAACGATGGACAGAAGGAGCAGAGTAGTGAGAGGCAGGAGGTGCTGCATCATCAATGATATCATCAGTGAGCTGTTAGGTTTGTAGCTTGAACCTATTCGCTGGAACGTTAAGAAAATATAATTACACTGCAAGCAAGACGCAAGTAGGCAAACATCTTCATGGTACTCGTGCACGGGAGAGACTGGACAGAGCGCCGTCCCTTCGCTTGACCCCAGTAGCTCTCGTCCGTTCTCCCATACACTGTCCTTTTATTGAGGTTACATGAATATGCATAGGTTCATTAACATACGACGTCTACATACAAACAAAGAGTACCTTGCCTGTGTGTGTGTGTGTGTGTGTGTGTGTGTGTGTGTGTGTGTGTGTGTGTGTGTGTGTGTGTGTGTGTGTGTGTGGACTGCTGATCAAAGGGTCAAACATCCTTGGTCAGGAAGAGGGTAGCCTCCCCCTCACCCTAGATGGTTCATCCTAGATAACACGGTGAGGAAGTCCTGCAGTTCATCTAAACAAAGAGCACTTAGACTAGAACAGACGTAGCTACGTTAATCCTACCATAAAACAATAAGACACGGTATGACCTCTCATGCTCCCAAAGTGCTGTCTAATACACACAAAGTTTGCAGACTATCAAGGATCAAAACCTCTACCAATCTACAACTAATTACAAAACTCTAAGCATATATAAGTAAATATTTCTAAGCATAAATGACAATCAACAATACAAATCTAACAGAGCCCTGTGTCATCGGGTTAGAGAAAAACAAAGACAGATATTACATTAAACATACTTCCTCATTCCCTGATATATACATATACGTGCATAATAACCCATAAGAGCCCAGACCTATTTTTACAGTCAGGAAAACTGTGGGCGAGTCAATGTTCAAACTTTAATAGAAACTTCCCTCAATGTGTAAAGTAGCAGTGTCACCTGTGTGACTGTGGGTTCTTAGGATGAAGGTTTCAAATTATGAGCTACGTTTATGTCCAAGTGTCTATTCTAGGATTCCAGTGTCATTGACGTGAATTCATTTCATCACAGAGAGAGAATCTGATAGCTTTTGTTTTTAAGATATTAATAACAGCTTTTAGAGTTAATCCAAGGTCAACCAGCTCCTCTCTTTACTGTGAAAAGGTTATAAAACATAAACCAGTATAGGATATTATTTTTTATCATGGCCACATTCTTAAAAGTAAAAAAAAAATAGGTTAATATATAATATTTAAAATAAACTATGCATTCTGTGAACACTGAACCCCACCCACTCTTCACACTTTAACACACACGTTAGCAAAGCACAGTCAGAAGTCAGTTGGATTAAACTGACAGAAACTCAAGCAGTTTTTCATCATCTACAGGAAAACACAAAGTGAGCCAGACAATAACTAAAACATGATTCAATAAGGCTTTTAGATATTCTGACTTGCTTCAAAACAGTCGTTCTCAGCTTTTCTCATTTAAATATCACCACTGCACAAACAGCACACTCTTAGACAGAATTTCCTGTTTCATCTTATGTTTGTTTTTGTTTGTTTTTTGCTGACAAGAGATAGGAGCAGGACTGTAGCTAACATACTGAAACATACATGTGCCACGTGTTCTCAGAGGTGATGAATACATTTTACAAAACACAGGTGAAGACATTCACAGAGAAGAAAGAAAGCTAACCTTCAAAGTAAAACAGGAAAGCTGAATCAGGAATCCAGAACTTTGAAACTTGAAACAACAGAACAAGAAAACCGAACAGAGACTGAAGCTCGACTATATTCAGTTAGAATCCTTTTCAATCACACAAATTACAAATTAAAAGATGAATAAAGTAGGGATAAGTGGAGAAGTTCTTACCTCCAATGATCTGTGAAAACCAGCAAAATGACCTTGTAACAGGTTCATACAGCAGAGGAAACAAGACAGCTAGTGAGGACCTGGACTGCCTTCCTCACATATAAACTGAGCAAAAGAGGAAGTGTAGTTTTGGTGTTCTTCAGTGCGGAAACGCTTCGTAAGTTTTCTCAGAACCCAACCAAACATGTTTTACATGCATCATTTTCCACATTAAAGTGACTTCAGCTTTTATTTGAGTTCTTTCTAAGAAGCAAAGTGTATTTCATGAAAAAGCAATGTTACTGCAATAAATAACACATCATCAGTGTGTGAATGTGTGCGTGAATGTGTGTGTGAATGGGTGGATGACTGGATATGTAAAGCGCTTTGGGGCGCTATATAAATACAGGCCATTTACATTTACCATCATTTTATATTTAAAAAAACATTAAATAATAAATGAGTATATTTATAATATAATATAACACACCTTATGAAAGGTATTACATTCATATGCAGTAGATGCTAATCTGAAAGTGCTGCTGAGTCTGCAAGTGCTCGACTTACATGTTTTTTGTGTTTGTTTGTTTTTTCATTTTGTGTGTTTTAGGTTGTTAATGCTGTTAGTACATTAGCAAGTAAAGCAAAGGATCTGTTGTTAACTTCAACTTTAATAGCGTTTATTAATAAACATATTCACTGTTTTCTGAAGTAAAACTTTCGATCCTCAAAGAAAACAAAAAAAAGACAACTTTCTCACTTCAGCAGGTCTAACATCATTTGGTGCTCGTCTTTTCGAGAACAGTCTTCAGATGGACTTTGTTATCACAAAAACAACATGAAACAACAAAACAACAGGGACAAAAACTTTTTTTCTGACGAAACTATTCAAAGACGAAGATGCTGAGGCTAAGATAAAGTTACATGAAACCTAAATTACTGTGTCATTCTTCACAAGAAATTAAACCAAATGAAACTAAACGTATATCTCAAACTGTTGATTGTAACATAAAGAGGAAGGACAAATTAATGGAAAACCTGAAGCCTTCTCTTCGACAATGCTCAGTCAAGTCTGTCTACAGTTTTATTTTGCGTTGTGTGTTTTGGTGAAATAAATAAATAGCCTAAGCTCAAATACAACACAACATAATATAAAGAATACAAGATACAGTAACTATAACTGTACAAAGGCATACAAAAAGAGCAGTTACACATTAACTTGACTTGCCATGACTTACAACAACTAAGGATACAAAGGTTACATGAGCAATAATCTAACTTGGAATTTGAGCAGTTTAATGATTAGAAATGAATGTTTGTAACCTTGAAGATCAGATCTGACTGACTCAAATTATAATTTGAATGCATCTCACTATAGTGAAAGCTTTTATGCAACACATAGTTGAATGTGTGACATGGGTAGGTTTACATCTTGGGATTTTTATTATTATCATTGTTGTTGTTGTTGTTACGATCCCCTCTCCTAGGGAGGCGTAACATACACGAGCCCTCACACAAGAAACTGAGTAAAACAAAAAACCGACAGGGCTTTTTCAACAGACCACTTTACATGAAGGCATTAACACAGACAATAGTAAAAGCTAAGAGTTAACTGAGGCAAGCTAGCATCACAAAACTCTAATCAAGTTAAGTTCAACCAGGCACCGAGGTTAACAAACAAAATTCAATGCCATGAACAGAGTTGAGTGATCAAAGTTCAAAGAGGGAGGCAAGAAGGAAGCATGTTCAGTCCTAAGCAGCAGACACAGAGCCACAGGTGCATACAATCAACCACTCATTGCTTCCTGGAGCACCACCGGATCCCAGGCAGTCAAGTGTCTATTAGCAGGGCTGCACATAAGTGGTCCGCAGGTGCGCATGCGCTGTCAAAATAAAAGACGCACACCAGATAAGAAGTTGCAATGTGTGTTTGCGTCCATATAAAAGGCACTGTTTTTGTCCGCTAGAGTGGGATTTTCACGGCATATTCTGCACCACATCTGTGTGTTCATCATTTGTTTGAAGCCAGCTCACCTCCTGCAACCACTTTTCCGAGAATACGTGCTTCGGACTCCTTCTGACATTTCTTTGGAGGTGGAGGAACACCAAAGTAATTGCTTAAAGGAGCTTCTTGACATCTTTAAGAGTTCTAAACAAACGTCTGTCCTCCTCCAGAAAATCTTATGTACGTAAACGTGCGTTGCAACTTATTATTTGTTGCGCGTCTTTTAATTTGACAGCGCATGCGCACCTGCGGACCACTTATGTGCAGCCCTGTCTATGAGGGTTGACACACTGCAAACTGCATACAGGAGGGCTGGCACAGATCTCCAGCTAGCCAATCATTATTGAGTCCTGGCACTATTGGATTTGCTTGAAGAGCAAAAAAGCGGTCTCACTCCCTCAAGGCCCAGGGCCATAACAATTATTATTATTATTATTATCACCCAAGTTTGAATGGTGATTACCTAAAAAATGAGTGAGCACTGAGAAACATTTCTTTTTGTCACCTGTCAACAATGTAAACATGCTGATACCCTGAGTTACAGGCAGAGGGCTTCATCGTACATTGAACATTATTTTTAATTATTCCTGAAAAGTTAGTTTTGAACAGACATTTGGCTGCAAATCAAGGCAGCATCTATGTAACTTAATAGTCATTAACACATTTATCCTCTATATGAGTTTGATCCTTTTTGATTTCTTATAAAAATACTTCACCCAGATTTAAAATGATGCCTTTTTAAAACCTAAAGTGTATTTTCCTACAGAAAACACAAAATGCACTCTGTGATGCTCCAGTTGTCATTTATTAGAACCACAATAACATATTAAATGTTTTACAAAACACTATAGAGGGTAGTTACTGTCATATAATTTAACATGGGCTGCATGATGATACGGTGATTAGCACCACGGCCTCACAGGAAGACGGTCCTGGGTGTGAATCCATCAGTTTCCTGGTCTTCGGTATGAAGATTGTATCTTCTCACAGTGCTGGTGTTGGTTCTCTCCAGGTACTCCAGTTGTCATTTATTAGAACCATATTAATGTGTTAAATGGTTTACAAAACACTATAGAGGGTAGTTACAGTCATATAGTAACAAGGACGGCATAATGATATGGTTTTCTCACCACACCCCACAGGAAAATGGTCCTGGGTGTGAATCCATCAGTTGCCTGGTGTTCTAAGTGGAGTTTGCATCTTCTCCCAGTGGGTTTTCCAGCTTCCACCCACAATTCAAAGATATGCTAGGTTACTTGGTTGTTCTCAGATCTGTCTCTCACCAGTTCTGGCAATTTGTCCATAGCTCCTCTCACCCTATGACAGCTGGGATAGGCTCCAGCTCTAGCTCAGCTGCAAAAACTGATGGCTGGATGGTTAAATACTTGTCTTATGAGTACATGTTTAACACCATTACATACACAGACTCCATAGCTGTTGGTGAACGCATCCTTAAACATTTTTACTGCATCTTATCTCAGATGTTCCTAAATTCTTTGTTGCGATTAATTTCCAGCATTTTCAAATAAAAAGCGAAACATCATGGCTGTACAAATATAAAGATATATTTCAATATATGAGGGCAATGATATGAAAGAGGTCACATCACACTCATTTTCTCAGGTTTTCTACCATTAGCTCAGCGTATGAGTACATTTGCACCCAGTGTAATAATCACAGTGTAGAAGAGTTTCACCAGAATAGCACCAATCAGTCCAGGCACAGATACTGATGGCTGAGCTCTGACTGTAAGGAAGACAGAACAAAATAACAGAGTTGGCATAGAAAGTACCAAAAATACAGGCAGAATAAATGGCTGAAAGGCAACAATAAAGTAAGGAAATCAAACAATACACATTAGAATCAATTAAGTAACCGACAGGGAAAGCCAAAGAAATACAGGGCACAGGAGCTTAAAAGCTCTTGGACTTTATATATGTATTTCTCATATTTACCTTCTAATTAAGTATGTGCAGATGAGATGTGTGAATCAGAGCAGTACTGCACAGGCAGTATAAAAGATGGATACAGCCTCAAGGTCTAATATGCAAGTATGTTAAACCTTCATTCTTTTAATGGCCAGCAGGTGGAGACTCCTGTGACTGGAAAGAGACTTCCAATGCTATAGAAAGTCTAGGGGAAGTTCCCTCACTCTGTGACCTCTTTAAACCTTTTTCTGTTGACTTGCTTGGCTCAGCCACGAATTTCTAGTCATAATAAATAAAATATGAAGTTCCTTTAGTAAATTATGGCCTTTATTGAAATCAGAATGAAGGATTATCCAAGTAATGCTCACTCATGAATTAATTACCAGTCATAAGTTCTTGAACAATGAATATGCATTGGACACCTCTTCCCTTATCATGTCCATTTCAAAGTGGTAAAGCACTCAATTTGAGGTTTCATAAGAGTTCTTCACTAAGTAATGAGTGGTGCAAGAATGGCTACATCCACTTTTTATACTGTTTATATTTTTTTTGACCATGCAATGTGCATGTGGATATACTGAAAATGTGTGACTGCATTTTAAATAGTTCCAATTCAGCATTCAATACAGTGCCAAATCACAACAACAGCTACCTAAAAGCATTTTATATTGTAAGGCAAAGACCCTACAATAATACAAAGAAAACAGCGAAAACCCCAACAATCTAATAACCCCCTATGAGCAAGCACTTTGGCAACAGAGGGAGAGAAAACCTTTCTTTTAACAGGAAGAAACCTCCAGCAAAACTATGCTCAGGGAGGGGCGGGGCCATCTGCTGTCTGTAGCGACCATTTGGGGTGAGAGGAGGAAGACAGGACTGCCTCAATAAGGATTTTATGCTTCACCAGTTAGAAAATAACAAAATCTTTTGAATATATGTCAATCAATCCTCAGTGGCTAGTTTAAATAGGTGAAATTAGTCAATGCATTGCTTTTGGAGCACAATGAATATGTCAAAGGACAGACTGGGTGTATTTTATTGATTATGTATCACGTCTACCACATTTCTCCTCAAAACAGATGTCTTGTTGCCTGAACCCACCTTTGCCTTTGACAGCCATCCAACTCTGTGCTGACTGTCCTTTTGTTGGGTGTTCACACTTGTAGAAACCTTCATCAGATAAGGACACAACTGAGAAAGTGAGGTTCCCTGCAGGCTGAGTACTGATTAAATGTCCGTCTTTGTAGAAGTTAGCAGAGAAATTAGAAGTCGCCCTGCTCTCTTCATCGTACTTGTAATAGCAGAGAAGTATCACTGTTTCATCTTCTGTCACAGGAAGCGCAGGGCTTTCCAGGATCACTCCATCTAAAAATCAAACCGTGCTATGACTCCTCAGCTGTATATCAGATAAAAAGTCTAAAACATCAAATAATAAAGAGCATTACATTTGACTGTGATGTTGATAGTCTCACTGCATTCCCCTCGATCAGACTCACACCAGTATGTTCCAGTGTCTGATGCATAGGTGTCCACAATAGTGCATGACGTCTGATTTGACACTCCCCAACCCGAGATACATGACTCAGCAGTTTTAGAGGAGGTGTTTCTCTTCAGAGTCCAATTTCCAGAGTTGTCTGTCCCTTCACAGCTCAGCGTGATCGTCTCGTACCAAAAGAACTGAGATCGGTCAGGATGGATGCTCAGCATAGCAGCTGGGGTTCGAAACATGAAATAAAAAGAAGAGGAAAAAAGCATCAGGCTGAGTTTTGGTCCTTTTAAAACATGCAAGTCTGCAGACTTGTGGTAAGCCCCAGACACACAGGTCTGGAGACCCCATGGCAAGCATTGGTTGATAGAGAAAAACATGTTCTTCAACATTAAACCACCTAGTGAATGACAACTGTTGCGAAATCAGTTTTACCCCGGTTCTTTTTATTCCTCGAGCATCCAGAGACGGACTCAGTAGTCATTTTCACAAAAACTTTATTCATCTTTATTTATCCTCATTTAAGCATGCATTCTTCTAGAAGGGAAGACTTGCCAGGCCGGTGCCCCTCTGCAAAATCTTCACTCATTTGTCCGTGAAACAGTTTTGTAGGAGCGACCCTATCATAAAACCCCCCACGGTGTGCTGCAAACTCTGTGTCTGTGTCTATGTGCACGAGCACGTGAATGCCTGTGTGTGCGCGTATCCGTGTGTGTGTAAGTGCACGTGAGTGAGTGTATGCGTGTACCTGTGTGTATGTGTGAGTGCACGTGAGTGAGTGTGCGTGTGGATGTGTGTGCGTAACAGTTAAAACACTATGTGCGTATATCTCTATGTACGTACCTTCCTGAGGGTCATAAAAGTCCACCTCCCTTCCAAACCAAAGTTATTTAGTTACAAACTTTGGGACTCCCACCCAGGCATGCCCTGAGGAATTTCCACTCAGCATTAACTCCTCTTTGTCTTACTTACACAGTTCAACTGGGGGAGGGTCTCCTAAAATCTACTCCTAAGTTCATGACACAGTCAGGCCTTTATTTATATCCAAGGCAGTGTCTCACAATTCTATATCCTATCTAACACATTCCTAAACTCTAAAATAAGCTAAACATTCCTACACAACCTGATTTTCAGTTATTTCAGAGCCATTGCTAAAAGTTTGATTTCCAAGCAATTTTACTCTGTTTTGTACATTTGATAGAATAGAATAGAATAGAATTCAACTTTATTGTCATTGCACATGCACAGGTACAGGGCAACGAAATGCAGTTTGCATCCATCCAGAAGTGCTTTAGTGATATAGATATATTACAATATATATTAGCAATAGTATAGATATGTGAGTATATTACAGAAATGGGTCTATTATGGTATGTTATAATCAGAATCAGAATCAGAAAGGGGTTTATTGCCAAATGTTGAGCAGGTTTACAACATTAGGAAATTGCTGCGGTGCTTCAGTGCAAACATACTGTCAGATAGCGCTTAAATAGACATGAAAAAATAAAAATAAAAATAAGAATTAAAAGTGCTACGTAGATAGATATATAATGTACACGGTATGAAGTATGTTGTGAATATAGATAATACATTTCCTAACAGTGCATTAAACTGTACCCTTCCCTTCTTTTTCAGTTCAATTTCAGCTCTATTGAAACTGGCTTGCAGCTGTTTTTACCATGAGACATGAAGACAGGACAAAACTGCCCACAACTGCCAAGCCTGGAGGCCCTCTGGTGACCTCAAACAGGAAAAAGAAAACCAGGTTTTTGAAAATGTCACAGCACACAAACCAGAGAGGTGCTCATCTAACAAGGCAAACTGAAAACAATCTTGAGTGCGTATATAATGTGTTCATTGTTTAGTGTTCTGATGTGTTTCCTTCATCTAACTGTTTTAATGCTCATGGACAAAAAAATGATCACAAATCCACAAAAGATTAAGACCACCGCATCATATCAATCTATTACTTGTAAGTCCATGACATCTGTGTATAAAATAATAATAACAATGATAATAATAGGAGCGTCTCAAATTAAGACATGGACCAAAGCAAAGGCCACAGATGGAGTACACCCGCAAGAGTGCACACTGTTTGAGGTTAATGACAGAGGGGGTTTGGAGTCTGTTACTGAGTGAACAGAGCGTTGGAAACTCTTACGTATTAAGAGACTCTGCTCTGTTTGTGTGATCTGCGACTTCTTGGCTGAGTTGCTGTTGTTCCACTTTGTAATAATATCACTTTCAGTTGATCATGGAATATCTAGGAGGGAAGAAATTCCACGAATGGACTTTAGTCATACCACGCTCAGTGTTTCAGTGACCTCTTTAGAACGACTCAATCTTTTGTAAGTGTTTGTAATGCCGGACTGAAAGGGTGCTCAGTTTTATACAGCTGTGTAAATGCAACTTAAAACACCTGTATTCAAAGATTACAGCTGTGGGCCAATACTGTCGTCCATATAACATACGATCACTAGGCAACTGTTTTACTACTGCCAGCTTGAGCTTGTAGGGCGATGCTTCAGTTTATCCATTTAAGCTCCATGCAGGCAAATGATTACACAAAACATCATCCTGTCCCTCCTGTATATTATGGAGCCCCCCAGGGGACATGGGAGAAAAAAAAAATTAGGGCGAAAAAAAAAAATTAAGACGGACTTTTGCGAGATCTCGCAAAAGTATTGCGAGCGCTCGCAAAAGTATTGCGAGATCTCGCAAAAGTATTGCGAGCGCTCGCAAAAGTTGAATTCCAACAATGGCGGCAGCTACTTAGTTGTAATATTGCTCTTTCTGGGTCACAAAATACACTTTTAAGATATTTTGAGGCGTGAATGTAGTTGTGTAAACGTCAGATACCTGCTCGGTTTACAAGACATCACATATTTGCAAAAGTGCTCCGACGTTTTTGGAGATCTGACACCCACTTGCTCGAAGCTAACGGGAGGTCGAGACCTACTACAGCCGGGAGGAACACAGCTTTCCCGGCACATCGTGCCTCGACCTCCCGGTCGGCTTCGAGCTGGCGGCCTCCGAAGAATGCGGCTAAAACTTTTGCGAGCTCTCGCAATACTTTTGCGAGAGCTCGCAAAAGTCCGTCTTAATTTTTTTTTTTTCCTCCCTAATTTTTTTTTCTCCCATGTCCCCTGCGGGGCTCCGTAGTATATCACCAATATGTTGGAAAGCAGCAACATTTTAATCTCGTGTAGAGGCTAGAATACATTAAACAGAGTCTAATTAAAGCTGAAAATGGCAGATACAGAATGAAAACATTTGGCCTCCAGACCTTGTGTGGACCTTTTACTTTGTGGACCTTTTAACACCCGTCTCGTCTCTCTCTATGGACATTTCCCTCAAGAACTGAAAGAAACCCCTGTGCTTTTACCAAGACCCCTCAATGCGTACCTTAACTCATGTGTAAATAAAGATTATAATACTTTGATGCAACTCTCTATCAGCTCAGCATTTGGGTCTGTTTTTGCTTACTGGCCTTACAGTCTTGAAAAATATTACATCCCTACCTTCATTGTAGTAGGATTTCAGAAATGTAGAGCAATTTTAACCCTCACATGCACACACTCACACATAAACACAAACACACACACTCGCACAAACATAGAGTGGATAATTAGTTTTATTTCTTAAACTGTTTACTCTGTTTAGTTATACATTTGATAATATATTTCCTAACAGTGCATTAAACTGTACCCTTCCCTTCTTTTTCAGTTCAATTTCAACTCTATTGAAACTGGTTTGCAGCTGTTTTTACCATGAGACATGAAGACAGGACAAAACTGCCCACAACTGCCAAGCCTGGAGGCCCTCTGGTGACCTCAAACAGGAAATAGAAAACCAGGTTTTTGAAAATGCCAGAGCACACAAACCAGAGAGGTGCTCATCTAACAAGGCAACCTGAAAAATGAAAACAATCTTGAGTGCGTAGATAATATGTTCATGGTTTAGTGTTCTGATGTGTTTCCTTCTCCTAACTGTTTTAACCTGAAATCTGAAAACAATCTTTGGTGTATCTATAACGTGTTCATGGCATGCCTGATGCACTGGGATCCAGATACACTTGAGTCCTAATTATAGTCAATTCAGTTAAGTCAAGACAAAATCTTCAAGATTACTCCATCAAAGTAACAATTGATATAGATGTCTCTAATAATAAGAAAAATTCATGATCTCTGGAAGATGACTGTACTTCAACAAAGTGCAACAAAGCTGCCTCTCTATGCTGAGACCGTTGAAGTCCTGTGTAGATGAGCAGACATTTCCTCTCCAGTTTCCTTCATCTAACAATTTTACTGTTTGTGAACAAAACAATAACCAGAAATCCACATGAACGTGAACACCAAATCTCCACATAACATCATTCTATTGTTGAACTAGTGGCAGAAAATAAAAATAAAAAAATAAATGAATAAACCGCTATTTGGAAAAAGGTTTTGTATTTAATCCAAATCATCTAAAAATTTAAAATCTTCCAAAAAACAAACACACAAAAAAATGTCCAGAACTTTATTTTTCTTGGTCTCAGAAGGATTTTGACAACAACACCCTTGTGATGCTTGATAATATAGAGACCCTACGATGTCACGGTCCCCGTGTCTCTCTGGTTGGCCCACGCTGGCTACAGGTTTTGTTGTTGTTAGTTTTAGTTTTTTGTCTCTCCTCCTCCTCTCTGCCTGGGTGGAGCTCATTACGGGCTCTCACTCTTGGCCCACGCACCCCTGTGGATGGTGTCCACCTGCGGCTGATCTGGCTGATTTCCCCAGCTGCTATTTAAGGCAGTGGCACAGAGCAGCTCACCGCTGGAACGTCGAACCACCTGAGTTCGTGCTCGCGGCATATTCAAAGAAGAATCGCTTACACGTGTTTTATGTTGTGGAACTAACCTTTGACCTTCTGTCTGTAGATTCTGGACCGAATCACCGGACCTGTCCAAGTGGGGCAGTGTGTGGAGTGTTGGAGCGAGTGCGGCTGAAGAGGAGTGCGTGTGTGCGGAGGAGCGGTGGCGGTGACTGAGTGGAAGAGGAAGCGTGTGTGTGGATTCCCCCCCCCTTCTCTCCCTGGAGCCCTGGACCCCCTCCCAACTCACTGTACATATATTTTGCACTAAGGTGATCCCTATTGTAAATAAATCCCCTTTTGTTTCCTTGAAAGAACTGTCTGCGCGTGGGTCCGTTCAGTAGCCATGACATACGATATTAGTAAGTGAATTCCAAATACCTTAAAATCTCCTTTGAGCAAGTACTTTAAGGATAATGTGGGAAGAAAGAAGTCCCTTTTACAAGAGACAATATAACTCAAGGGTGTTAAAATATATAATTATGTTGTTTTCACGATATACATAATGAATAGTGTGTTTATCTTGGCATTGGTACCATTGTTGGCAGATCACAGAGAGTCCACGCAGGTTGCAAAAAGGAACTAACCGGACTTTGTCCACTGCTGATATGTTGACATGTTGCAGTAGGAAAACCATTTGTGTACTTTGCCAACTTGGGTTTGTAGTGCGACGCTTCTGTTTAACAATTTAAGCTCGCAGCACAGTAAAATTATCATGCAAAACATCATTCTGTCCATGCAATATATCACGAGTACGTCCGAAAACAGCAACGTGGAAGTGAGTAAATGAAAGTGAAATTAAAATACAGCAAATCACATTTTTAGCTTGTGACGAGCCGAACATAAATCAAAACCTAATAACTCTGGAAAAAATGGGAGAAATTTAAAGCAGAATGTGTGAGGAAGCAGCCTCTCATCAAGTTGTACTTTGTAGGACAAAGAAGTAATCGTATTTTCTTTGAGATCTTTGGAGAAACATACACCTAATAAAACCTTCAAATGTCCTGCAAGCTCAGGAATTCTTTCAATTACAGCTGAATTAAAAACAACTAAAAAAGTAAAATTTACTCACAGATAATCAGACACGTTGAAGAGATCTCCATTGTGCTTTGGTGCTCTTTTCTTTCTTAGAAACTTTTCAGCAGCTCTCTGACTTGCAGGAAGTTATTAGGGTCGCACAGATGATTAGGTGTTGGTGGGCTCTGCAAAAAAACCCTCATATTCCAAATGTCAGATCAACACTGTGAGCACATGCAGGGGGCTTCTATTTTCCACCCCCTGTGGTCTCTGTCTGCAGAATGCAGTGCTCTTTGGTTTCCCCCTCCAAACACTTATCCTTCTCATGAATTTACACCCCCACCATTTCACACCTACCCCTCTGAAGCGGCTTCATGCCGTGCACTTGAGCATGACAGGAAATGAGACACCCTTCAGTAAGTGAAAAAAGTGTAAAGTCTCTTTTTTACACTCTTTTAGAAGTTAAAGCAAGCCTATGAAATCTTCTTTAATTGAATCCTCTTTTTGTTTTCGTCAGAAGACCAAATTAATTCAATAATAATAATTTAATAATTCACAAAGACAGGGCGCCTCCAGAATTTTTTCATACGGGGCCACTAAAAATATTGTGGTCGTGCCTCCAAAACAGAATTTTAATTTTTATGTTGTTGTCAAATATAGGTTGCTTGAAAAGTATGGCAAAAAGGAGAGAGAATTATAGGTTTATATGCCTAGTTAATATCCTGCTATTACAGCTGATATCACTGAAAATAGGCACGTATGAAAACCAAATAATATTTTGAGTCATAATAATCTGTTTTAACAATAACAAGTGCATGTTTCAGCTCATTGTAGGGTGTCTTCATCTCTCTTGTGCTCTTGTGCTCTTGTGTGTGTGTGTGTGGGGGGGGGGGGGGTCACTGGGAAATCACTACGCAAAGTATCATTCTGACTCACCGCTATGAATCACAGCTGTGTTAAGAAAAAGTCACAATGCTTCAGCAAGTGAAGCTGAAGCGAAAAACTTCAAATCACAGCACACTCAACGATAGCTGTCAACTTATCAGGTACATAAAGAAGCAGTGATGCAGAGTCTTGTGTATTTAATTAATCCACCAAAGACTCTTTTAAGAGCCACGTGTTTGACTTCATCTGTATCGACAACAGGCAACCAGTAACGATCCTACAATTCCTGAAAGCTGTGCACTGCTGCCCTCTGCTGGTGTTTACTGATCCTACCAAAACCTATGCCAGATCAGCCAATCCCTCCGTCTGTTCAGTGTGTAGGGTTGCTCTGGGCCATATCTCTCTCTCTTTCCTAAACCTAACCAAGTAGGAAATAAAAGAACGTACCAAGTGGGGAGGTAGTGGGGAACAGGTGCAAAGCAGCACATACTCCCCCCCAATATTTTGGTTATTTGTCCGTCCTCCTAACCCTGTGGCCTCTGTGGTCTGAAAACAGAATACATGTGAAGAAGTCTGGTTCCCTCTCAGATCAAAGGAATTAACAATGTCGTGATTGGAGGCAATAAGACGCATGGTTCTCCTGCACGAACAGCTTTTGTTGAACTGTAGCAGCAGTGTACGTGGCTATCATCAATTTTCTCAAAACATATACACATACAGTATTCTAGCAACCTCTAGTGGTCGCCCCCATGGTAGCCTTACTAGGACAACAAACAGATTTCACAACAAACAATAGGATTTCTTTTATTCTGTTTCTGGTGTTTCCTCAAGGTCGGTTTACAAGGACTCAGAGGAAAATGGTTTAGAAGGGAATCCAGAGAAGACCACTAAACACAGTAAACAGTGCTTAATGTAACAGGTCAAAATGTGTGTTGAAGACATAAATAGGGATTAAACTAATAGTTAAAAGGTTAAGAGACAAAAAAAAAGACAATTCATAAGTTATGGAATCACAGTTCAGTTCATGTTTTTAAACAAGGTTAAAAAAAAAAAGGCACATCCATCCATTCACTTATCCTCCTCAGGGTCAGAATTGAACTCAGGACCTCCTTGCTGTGTGGCAACAGTGCTAACCACCGTGCCAACCACCGTGCCGTTGCATGTTTATTATGTCTTTAATTACTGGTTCAGTGGTTTTCTCACTACACTTTGCGGCATTACTTTATGATACAACTAGGTGGTGCAAAGTGCACAGGAGAAACATAAACTCTCTTTGAGGCAAACTGTAAACAAGCTGATGATCTGTGCCTCTTTATTTTAATACACAGGTGGGTTATTAGTCCTTAAATGATGTAGAAACAATAAGCCTGTTGTGAACATGTCAAAGGAAAGTATAACTTATAAACTCAGTAATGTCGAAGTATTGTGAGTAGAATGAAACAATAACGCCAACGTGGTCGTGCTAGGCTAATGGACTTGATGCTAGCAGGTGAAGCTTCAAGTGCAGTAGCGATGCTAATGAAGTACAAAAAGTATTCGTGACAGTAAAGTTAATCAGGCTCATGAATGTTTTCATTTGTGTTTTCTATGTTTTGTTGAGGTAAGAGGAGATGCAAATGCTGTAACCAATATGCAAATGCTTCACTAATGAATGGTTATTTGTTAGTCGCTTGCTGTGAGTTATAGTATATTGTATTTAGTGATGCAAGTGATATGTGTGTGTGTAACCTGAACAAAGGCGGAGGTGATATGGCCAATGTGGCCCAATGTTCAGATATTGTTATGATGGTCACTGTCTATAGTCACTAAGATTATTCATGTACTTCCTGACAGTGTATTGACATCTGTCATTATTAAGAAGTGCAATAAACAGTGGCGGGCAGACAAGCTACAGTGTGTAGTTTTGGATCCTCATCCTAATCCTTAAGCTGCAGGTTTCCAGTTATTTTCATTTTGTTCTGTAGTTCATTTCTTGTTTTGCAGTTTGAGAGGGTTAGACATCTATAAATATTGTAACATGACAATGCTGTGAAGAAAAGGAGAAGGAAGAAAAAAAATACAAAAAACTGGACTTGTTTTAAATACTTTAACTGTTTTGTTTTCTTCCTCCAGCTGTGAAAATATGGGTCAGAAACAAGGTCTGTTTTATTAAATGTGGACAAAAACAGTTTTAAAAAGCCAAAATAGTTTATTCTTAAGGCTCATTTTACACAACCAGAAAATAAAAAGAACTATATAATAAACCTGTAAAAACTCCATAACAAATATTATTGAAAATCACAAAATCACAATCTTAAGGTAGTTCAAAGTGGAATAAAGTTAGCTTTAAAGCTTCCAAGTTTCAAGGGTCTAATAAATGGTAAAGCTGATGTTGATATGTAGGATTAGCAGTAAGAAGACCTTACACAGCCCTCCCAGTAAAATCACAGAAACAACTGTGCAAAAAAGAACAACATGAGAAAAGTGCAAAATAACAAAACAAGAAAGTTCTTGTTGTTGTTTTTAGGGAGTTGAAGAAACAAAAAATAAGGAAAAAGCTTATTTCAAAAGTCCCGTTAGCTTGATTATTAAAGAATCATAAAATAATACATCTACCTCTAACCTACCATCTGTGTTGGAGGTTTATCTTGACGAGCGCTCAGGCAGCGTCATACTGACACACCAAGATAACCATGTGAAGATAATAGTTATTCAGTGCTACTAGTGAGTCAGAAAATGATACCATATATTAACATGAAAGCATTTACTTACTACTACTTTTTAGACTATGTGTTATGGAATATATTAAAAATGGACTGTATCCAGCCGTCTCTGCTGAATGATTAAACATGACTGAAAAATCAGTCGACAGAAAGTAAAACTCGAACTGCATGCCCGACTCTCCTTTGACTGTCAGCTGACATCAGCATTTTACTTTCTTTTTGTCCAGTTGTAAAAGTTGCCACATCCTCGTATTTCAGTTCCACTCTAGATCGAGATGAGCGGCTCTGCTTCTGGAGAGTGCGTATGTCTGCGCTGAGGCCGTGCAGTGCTTCCACGACGCGCGTTTGAGACAAAAGGAAGCTCTTTTGAGTGTGAAGGAGAAGTGGAAAACACATCGTCGCTGTTTGTTGAAAGAGCAGAATTGCTGTCTTGACTGCTTCTTTCCGTCTGAGAGCTGGCTGCTGCATATTGTGTTGAACCGGCAGGTTCTGAATCTCCTCCTGTGGTCTTTGATAATCTGTCAGAGTTTGGACGGCTGCTGCTGGTTGAAGTCTCTGGTTTGAGGTTGTTGTTGCTTTGAGGAGACTTTTGTCTTGATGGATTACTGGGATTTAAGATACCTGGTGAGGATGTGGAGTCATTTGATGACTCGCTGGGGGGTGTGTCCGGACTGGGTGTGCTTTCATTCATCTCATTCGGTAGCTGGTGGATGCTCTCTCCATTAACACTCGGTTTCTGTCCTCCAACTGTAGAAACACACACACAAAAGAAGAAAAGACACACAGTTAGCATTTTGTTTTCCTGACATTTCCCTGTTTCTATTACAAAGCGGAAAAGAAAACATAGTATACCTGATATACATGAATGCACTAACCTTAAGCATTAGGTAAGGCAGTTGCTAATATCCTTCAGTGGCTAATTTATAGTATGTTATTTAAGCTTATTTACTCTATCTGCAGTTGCTGCTTCTTCTGCAAGCTATCTTGCAGCTTGCAGACCACCTACATGTGAGTTCCTGCATTTCGTGTTATGTCTCTGCTCTGTCTTTCCCTGCCTGTTCACATAAATGCATAAAAGGATGAGGACATCAGAGTAGCCATGCAAACAAATAAATAAATGCCCCCAAATAAAAATAACTTTCCTTTAATTAAAGAAGTCGCAGTTGAACTACCACTGCTGTATGCCTCTGTTGTCCACATTAAAGCCTGCACATTACTGCATCTTTTTACCATAATTTCAGTGTTAATTCCCTGAATTTCATAGCAAATCCAGGTTCTACTTCACTTGAGTGACCCCATATTTTGGGATTTGCTCTGATTAACAAGGTTATTTTAATGAACGAAAGCTGCTTTGAGCTGTTTCTTTATCAGTGAGGGCCGGTGATGGGAAACATCGGCGTTACTAATGGCGTTACTTTTTTCAGTAACGAGTAATCTAACTAATTACTATTCCTATCGTTACAACGCCGTTACCGTTACTAACAGGAAAATGCGGTCCGTTACTATTTTTCAACAAACAGACGGTTGAAACTGTGTTCAGCTTATCGCATCTTATATCAGTTGCACGGAAGTAACAGGCTACGTAAGTAATCTGGACGCAACAGCTTTAAGCAGCTGCGCGCTCCCGCGGACGATAATCACGATCACTGTCTAGCACAACACCTGGAGCTCGGGGCAAAACAATCGCATGAGTGCTGCTGTTTGACTGAGGAAGAATAAAGTAGTCGTGGTAAGCCAATCACATGACCACTTAAAGACAAAGCAACAAGGTGATAGATACCAGTTTTTAAATTGTGTCGGCAGGCCAAACAAGGCAAAGTAAATATTTTTTAAAGGTGAAATGTGGGGAAAATCCAAAGTAGTTAAAAATGGCCAATTATACCCTGGACCCCAGAGGGTTAAATGTTTTTTAGTAGTAACGCAATAGTTACTTTTCAAGTAATTAATTACTTTTAGAATATTGTAACTCAGTTACTAACTCAGTTACCTTTTTGAAGAAGTAACTAGTAACTATAACACTGGTGAGGGCACAGTTCCATTTTCTTTTGTGTGTGTAAAATTTGGAAAACTCCAACTGTAAGATATAAGCATTTTAGTTACAATAGCATTCATCTTTATTTGAACCCAACAAAAATGCTTTGGGGGCAATTATGAGACAATTTGCTATTGTGTCAGCAATTTGACATTAAAATTACTTACTTACAAATAACTATTTAAATATTTTAGACAGTATCAAGGTTCTTATTTATAACGGTACGAAAATGCTGCTTCTCCTTGACTCATTTGATGTTTAACTTATAAATTTCTGGACTCTTCAAACAAAACAAAAGCTCTGATGCCATCACAGTGGGCTTTGAAAACTGCTTTTCGAAGCTGCTGATAGCCAGCATTTTTTCCTTGTGTCCTCTCACCAGCAACTTGTGGGTTCTTGTGTTATTGCTGTGTCTGAATGCCAGAAGGTGGGTCCTGTTTACATGATTTTGTGTAAGTCAAATGCTTTTGCGTGTATTTGTTCCCTCGTGACTATGCTAATGCTATCTTACGCTAACACGCTATGTAAGCTACTAAGCTAGTTAATGCTAATTATAAACCTTGTGTAATTGTTAAAGTTGTTATACACGTGAGTGTTGAATACAGTTTCCATCTGGAATCTCTGTGCTAGAATTATGTTTGGACGTGTTGAATGTTTGACGCACACAGTACTGATAGTTGCTTCATGTGCCATTACTACAGACCACAGCTGAATATATCTGCTAAACTTGGAAGCTCCGTGTTCTCCAACCATACCTTGCCACGCTAAAGCAGCTAAACTTCTGGAGACAACATTCTATCCATTTTATAAATTGTCTAATTAATTAGCAAATAATTAGAAGTAGTTAAAAACAAAGGCATACTAGGTGTGAATGTGTGAATGAAAGTGAGTGCGAATGGTTGTCTGTCCCTGTGTGTTGGCCCTGCGACAGACTGGCGACCTGTCCAGGGTGTACCCCGCCTCTCGCCCTATGACAGCTGGGATAGGCTCCAGCGCCCCCCGCGACCCTGAAAAGGATAAGCGGAAGCGAATGGATGGATGGATGGATGGCACAAAATGACTTACCGGAGGAGCAACAGCGCTTGACAATAAAGTATACGAGTGCACAGGTGATTGTGACTAAAAGGATCGTCACTGCAACGCTGATTACGATGTTTAGAGTGCAGGATCTCAGGTATTCATCTGAAATGATTAAAAAAAGAGATTTAATGAGAAAATCAAGATCATTTTACACAAAGAGACACTGGCATTATTTATTTTTTGAAGGTGCTTTTTGATGCACTTTTATTCTGCAAAATGTAACATTTAGAATAATTACAAAAGAATAATGAAATCTAAGTTTTATGCAGTCCAGCTGATTCAGGTGTTAAGCTTACCCGGTATGTAAAACTCTGAGTCCCTAATCTGGTTTATCTCAGGCTGCTGGACTCTGCAGATGACCCTGTGATTAAAAAGACACACCTTTAGGTTTCATTCACAGTTTTGTCCTGGAAAAAGAAAACTGATGTGCACTTTTTGTCATAGCTTATGCATGACTGCACTAATGCAGTGACTTGATATCACATTCCCATTTGGATGAAATAAATGACACAGATAAAATGAGATCTGAGGTCTTGAACTTTAGGCATTAAAATGATATTAAACCTGTTGGTAGCAGTATGCAAAGTCACTCTTCTTGTAACTGTCAGACACCCTGGGGAGTTTCCATCTCTCTTTGGGTCTTCAGCACTGATCTCATTTCCCTGATTGTCAAGAAATGTAATCCTAGGCTCAGGGAACCAGCACTTGGCCTCACACTGCAGAGTCAGTCCTCCTCCAACACCAGGAACAACATAGAGTTTCGGCTCAGAAACGGCACCTGTAAAAACAAGAATTATTCAGGGTGTGGCCTTTGAACCTTCCAGCAAACATTATTACAAAAATTTTCACTGTGGAAAATACTTTAATGTCAAATATTATCTGAGGTTTGTGGATCAAAGAAATCATTAAAGAATCTGCATGTTCTCCTAAGAACATTTGGCAAAGACGATTGGGAAAAATCTGCAGATAATTGGTTACCTTTGCTTAGAATAAAGAATAGAAAGGAGAAAACCTCAGACTATTTCATTAAATAATAAATCATTTAATCTGACATTCACAGTAAAATCTGTGCACTCCTCACACCCTCCTCGGAGTCTTTAGGGAAACCTAAACCAAAATGTGAGGCTTGTGCTGATCTCCAAAGTGGAGGAAAGGATAAATACAGTACTGCACTTTGAGTTAACGTACCTACAAACAGCTCCAGCCTTGTGATGACTTTCTTTTTCCTGTTCCTCCGAATTGCACACTGGTAGTTTCCACTGTCATTTAGCTGCACATTGGATATCACCATTGACAGGTTTCCGTCGTGAAGTTTGTGCATGATGAGGTTTGTTCTGTACTGAAAGACTGGATTCTTCATCTCGAAGGTCTCACATCCATCCCGGTACAGGAAGGCAGTGTTTGGAAACAGACCCTCTTTAGTCCACTCCACTGTTGGCACCTCACTGTTGATGGTGGTGATGCAGGGCAGGAGGATAGTTTCACCGACAAAGGCAACGATCTTTGGTCCAGTATCCACTAACATTATTCCTGTGAATAAAAAAAAAAAAAACAGAATATGTGTGGCAACTAATTGCTGTGTTTTTCCTACAGTCAAAGAACTGGATCTACTAATATAGTTTACATGTGCAGCAACAGTATTTCTCAATGCTATAGAACTCAAAATGCCCACGTTAACAACATTAAAACAAGTTAAAACATTTGTGTACAGCTTGATAGACAAACCAGCTTTAGCCTCTGTAGATGGTACATCTCTACATGACAACAGCAGGAGTGATTTTTTTTTTTTAAATGTATTTATTATTATCACTCATTGAAATTTTGTTGAGGTTTAACTTTTGCAGTTGAGCCTACTTCGATGGGTCTGCCAACACTGGCAGCTATTTCCAATAGGCTAGGACTCAGTTGAAGTAATTGTATAAAGAAGATCTCTTGGCTTCTTTTAGGGCATTTATCCCTCAAATACCTATTGTGTAATACAGTTTATTGATGCAGTTTGCTAAACAGAATGCTAGCATTTAGCATTTATTTAGCAATCAAATTTGGTCAAATCTGGCTCCAAAAATACAACATTGTTTACAGGCGTAAACATTAAAGCTTTGAAAGCCCAAAAGCAAACAGTGGGATGATTTTTCTCCCAGAATAATGGATGCCATTATTATATCAAAACATGAAACTGCTTGGTACCTGTACACTTCTCCTCCATTCCTCAGTCAAACTGTCTAAAATAATCTGGTCTTCTGTACCTGCACAGGTATATCAGCTCGAATAACCACCTTTCATTCTTCATATTCTCTCCCCCCCTCTTCTTTTAACTAAGATGTTGGACTCTTACAGTGAAAACATAATAGGCCTATATAGATAGGACGAAATGTGTGTGTGCACAACATTTTCCTGTGCACTCACACTTGTTAGAAAGTAATGTGTGGCATCTTTAAGTGGGCAGAAGAGATGCACCGTGTTGTAAAATGCATCAGTTGCTGTTTTTGTGTTATTTTGACCTGCAGAGGTTAAAGGTGTTGAAGAAAGTCAGAAAAAAGTCTTGGCATGTGTTCAGTACAGACAGATTTAAAAGTCATGCTTGTAAAGTTAAAATGTCATCTACTTCCACTTTTTTTGTCATAGCTTATGCAATAAAGGAAATCCTGTGTAGTCATGTGAGACTGAGATCTTAAACTTGGTGCAGAGCATGACTCTAATGCATGCAAACACAAACGCTTGTTCAACAGAACCCAATGACAGTTAACACATCTATACAAAAAAACAACCACAGCCACAATCTATTTTTAATGCTCACAAAAAGGGATACAAAAGAATGATTACCTCACAGCTTGTGCTTTTAAAACCACCTTCCTGTAAATCTTTAGTGCAATTTGTACAGTAAATATACCAAAACTCTTAGTAAACATACAAAAAGAAGCATGAAACATGTGCTTAGTTACTGTGCATTGCATGAAGTCACAGTAAGTTATTTCTGAAGCCGTAGTTGTTTCCTGTAACACCTAAATTTGACAGCTGATATCAATCACTGTCTTACAAGATAATGTCTAAAGAAATGTTGCACAAAAAATTAAAGCAACATATTTTTGGTACCTTTATAAGATAATTTGATTGTTGGTTTGTGTTCTTATAATAAATGAACTAATGTAGAAGGACTTCCTTTCAGTTTTTATGGCTCCGTGCAAGACAAATGTAATAAATAAACAGCCAGCACAGTGCATCACATGGTTCAGTCACATGGACGTACAATATGTGAATCAACCACAGACAGCATATTAAAGATAATATGGCCTTCCTGGCCTGAAAAGTGACGGTGTTATGGGACTGCCATTCTTCTTATGGAGGGCAAAAAGAAGTTCGGTTGCATAGGTGTGTGGGAAAACAATGCATGGTGCCCCATGTCCTCAGATTTACAACCTTTTTTGTTTCTTAAAAATGAAAGTCAAGCCATTAACTGTAAAAACCTGCTAGGCATATCACTTTTTACACAAATATTACCAGAAACCATGAAACAGTGTGGATGTGTTTTCAGTTCTGCCTGATTGAAACCACCTCAAACACACAGTCAATAGAAGTTGAAACAAGTAGAGCAGTAATGACTACAGTCATATCTAAGAGGTGCAGCAGCAGAACAGCTGAGATAATCCATCCACAATATAAGTTTAGTCATTGATATACTGCTGCATGAGCTGGGCTGTAGTCACATCATAAGGATGTAAAAACTGAGCTTTAAAATGAACAGTGGTAATAAAAACATAGGGTGACAGTGATCACTGACTTTTTCAGATTAAATAAAACAAGATACAAAGAATTAACCATTAACCGTGTAGTCCACTGTATATGGGCATATAAATGGACAACGGGCAGAGGCAGCTACTACACTGATATTCTCTCCATTTCAGCTGATTTTATAACAAATATATTCTCGTGTGATCTGCACAGTAATTCGTGGGAAAGTCACGCGACACAAAACACTCCCACGGGACTGTAGAAATCCTACCTCTACAAGAAGATAGGACCACGGCGAGAAGGAACGCAAGGACGTGCGTGGCCGAAGCACAGAAAAACGACCTGCCGGATCCACGGGTGTGAAATAAGGACTGAAAAAGGACCCAAACTCTGTTAACCTGCTCCATGCTTCCTCTCTAGAGGGCAGCCTGAGGCATAATGATGTGCAACAGTTCCAACTGTATTTCATTCACAAAACGGGAAGTGGGTGGGTTCATGACGGTGTGAATGTCATCATGCACTCTTGTTTTGTTTTTTAATGTATTTGTAGTTTAGGAGATCATAGTCATTGTGCTCTCTTAAACTACACCCAGATAAGATTCAAATGCAGTACAAGATAAATCTGGCTAAATGAAAACAAACTCAAAAAAGACAATAAGGTCTGCTGCTTCAAGTCAAACAGTGAGTGAGTGAACTGAAAGTGCTTCCTTTCATCATGCCAAACAATACAAACAGCTACAAAAGTAGTTTTGTAATGCTGAATGTGCTGAAACTGACAACTTGTTATCATAGATTGTAATTTTCTAATTCACATCACATTTCATATGAAACCCTTTGGGAAATCGTCCAGTGTCTCAAAAAAAAAAAAAAAAAAAAGCTAAAAGGAATATCTTAAAGACACAAACCCCCAAATTTAAGACACAAAAAGGTCGCCCAGCAGATGATGTAGACAGGATTAACACAGTCACACAAATCTTTGCTCTTTGTTGCTCTTTGTCATGCTGAATAGTGGTACTGACACGTACTAGTCCTCGGCTTCCTTCCTTTCCCTTAGCATAAAGTCTGCAAACAAATATAACTCAAAGCAACAACAAAAGGATGTACAGCACAGCCACAAACCACATCCACATTGTAAGTAGTCATCTAATGTCTTTGATATTAGACAAAGACATTAGATGACTTTGAGGTCTGGTCTCTTATATAAAATTAACAGGGCACATGTCCCTCAAAGAAACTATTAACCAGAACAACTAGAACCAATTATTGAGCTGCTGATTAAAAAGTATAATATTTGTAGATGTAACCAGAAAACCTTAAAAAATCTCAAGATTAAATCAGGAGGCCGATGAGAACATAACGCTATCATATTATTTATCACAACATTAACAGCACTTAAGGAAATCCTGTGTGGTCATGTGAGGCAGATTTCTCATACTCGTCACACAGCATGAGTCACATGCATGCAGAACACAAACACATCTTGCAAACCTTTTTAAGTTTTTCAAGAGGACTGAGTGACAGTTATGGGAACATCAGTTAAAAAAAGGAGAAGAAGAAACACAACCACAATTTATTTTTAGTACAAAAAAGGGATACAAAGGAATCATCACCTGATAGCTTGTGCTTTTAAAATAACCTTACTGTTAATCTTTACCACAATTTTTACAGTAAATGCCATGAAACTTTTGGTAAACCTACAAAAAAACAAAAGCCAAGAAACATGCTTTGTTACTGTGCATTGCATGAAGTCATGCTAAGTTACTGTAATTTTGAAGCTCTGGTCATTTCCTGTTTACACTCAAACAACAGCAGTACAGTCATTTGACAGCTCATATCAGTCAGTGCATTTCAAGATGAAGTCTACAGAAAATTTGTGTGTGAGAAGTAACTCATGTAGTAGCACTTTATGTTATTTGCTGACAATATAGCCCGTGTGATTATGTTCACATCTGAATCTGTTAATAAAAGAAATATGACTGAATACAACAACTTTAACATTCATATTGTTGTATTTTATGCTATCGATACAAACCAAATGATTCATCCAGATAAGATACCAGTGATCTCAATAAAATGTGGCTACTGATTCTATTAAAGTGAAAGTGCTCATTACACGGACACACTTCTTTACGTCTCTAGGGATGGGTATTGATAAGATTTTCACGATTCCGATTCCATTTTTGATTCTGTTTAATGATTCGATTCTTTATCGATTCTTTTTAAAAAAGGAGAACACTAAGGTCGATTAGCTCAGAACTTTGTTTTATATCTTCTCTTTGAACAAGATAGAAATTTAGGAGTAACATGGCCTTACAAACCCAACAGTGAGATCTTAAGAGATCCAGCCTACGGCTCTTCCATGGGGTGTCAAAGGGGCCCCAGGAAAAAAAATTGTAAATGTAAAATAATAAAATAAATATTCTTCTGTAGCAATAACAAAGTATAACATAAATTATTCTGTAGCAATTACACAAGAATATCCAGTAATGTCCTGCCTACAATTAAACACATTCACTTTAAATCGGGGCATCTGCTGTGGCAAATGGGTGCAAGCCTTTGACCACAAACTTAGTCACTGCTCGGTGACATTCGTCTATCCTGGCCTGAAAGGAGACGCTACCGGTAGACTGCAGTGAGAGCTGCCAGCATCTGAGCCAGACTCTGTCTCTCTCATCACGGTCACCTAAATGCACAGTAATGGCAGGTTTTGTAATAAGGCAGATCGCGCTAACATAATATGCACTGTTAGTTGATTATTTACCTGCCGCATTAACGGGAGAGGACGTGCAAACTTTACCGCTGCTGGGTTGAGATTCACGAGTCTGGAGCGGAATTATATTCTTCATTTCCGGTTAATACTTGTACAGCTGCTGTTATTGTGTATATATTTATTTATATTTAGATTCCTTCATACATTCTTATATAGTTCTATATTGTGTATTGTGTATTTTGTTGTACAGTTATTTTATTTTCAACTTTAATTTATATATTTATCTTTATCTTATTCTTCCCAGTTAAATTTACCCTTCATTCTAATTTGTGTTGTACAGTTATTTCATTTTTAACCTTAATTTATATTTTATTCCTTCCTAGTTAAATTTACCCTTTTTAATTTTTCATATTTATTTCCTATCTTATTCATAGCCTTTTCCTTTTTTGTTCTCTTTAGGTCACGAGCAGTTGTCCAAGCATTTCACTACATATCGTACTGTGTATGACTGTGTACGTGACAAATAAATTTGAATTTGATTTGAATTTGAATTAAAAACACGACATTCATTTAAGGTCATCACGTGTTTTTTGCATATTCGTAGTGTTTCCTCCCTTAAATGAAATATCTACTTTGCAAGTATTGCAAGTTGTCCTGTTGTCATCCGTTCTCGTAAAGTAAAACCAAACTTTTGAGTGTTTGAGCCACTTAGGTACCATGTTTCCTGCCAGGTAAATGACGCTCCGCAATGTGGTGACGTCATTCGGGGCGACTGGAATCGATAAGGGAATGTTTGCAAAAATGTCAAACAATTCCAAGGAACTGAAACAGTGGGAACCGGTTCTCAACAAGAACCGGGTTTCGATACCCATCCCTAGTCTCTAGTTATACCTTTGCTGTGCATTTTCATTTTTCATTATTTTCCTTTGCAATGCTGAATATGGTAAAAGTGGCAACTTTATGTGTTAACAGAGACTGTGTTTTGTTTTGTTTTTTAGAGCACATTATAAGAAGAGACTCCTGTGTCTTCTCAACTATACAAAAGGTCACAAAAGGTCCACCCAACAGATGATGTAGACAGCATTAACACAGTCAGATAAAAAATGTCAAAGCAACAACAACAGACCTTTGCTTTTTGTTGTTTCATTCTGGACTGTGGTGCTGACACTCACCAGCCCTCGGCCTCCTTCCTTCTGCTTAGCGTACACCCTCAGGGCGCTGGAATTTGGGTGAAACCCTCCATGCACGGTCAGGAGTTTTCTTGTCTTGATGTTTCTGGCATTTATCTCCTCATTTGGCCAACTTATTATCCCGGTGAGGATCACTGTCATTGCGTAGGTGTTGATTGCCCAGATTTTGTTCTTCCCGTTTAGCTTACTCCTCAGGACTTGCTTTACTCTCTGCACATACTTGGTGGTTGCAGCTTTCCTAGAGGCCTATTCATGGTTTCAGTTTACCTGTAGGATTCTCAGGTACTTGTAGTTGTCCTCGATGTCTGCAATGTTGCCTTATGGTAGTGCAGTCCTCCCCAATTCTGACTACCGTCTTCATTACCATCTGACTACACTTCTCAAGTTCAAATGACAGTGTCTCTTTCACTCCTGGCATACAGCTTCCTGTCATCCATGTAGAGGAGGTGGGTGGAGATTGCTCCATTCTGGAGTCGGTATCCGTAGCCAGTCTTACGACCAGTCTGGTCTTGCAACTCCAAGCAACAGCTGTATCAAGAGCTGGTGTTTTGCCCCTTTGGTGTTCCTTCCAATTTCTTTCTGTGTTGAACATATTGAGTTATGTACCTGTTCTTAAAGCCCTGTATCACACACACATACATGTATATCCATCCATCCTTTTCTAATTATCCAACTCGGGGTCACATCTGCCACACGTGCACTGCATGTAGTTTTCTAATGTTTCACTTTGGGGATCTGGTCTTATATAGAGCGTATATCATGGAAGTCCTTTGAAGAGGAAGAAAAAAACCGAAAAAAGGAAGAAAATAAACAATTACCAGAACAAGCAGAATAAATTTTTGATCTGCTGAAAAATGTAGGATATTTAGATATAAAGCCGAATTTTAAAAAGCTGAATATTAAATCAAGAGGTCGATAATAAAATGCAGTTATCATATCCTACCACACGGTTGCGCTGTTTTTGAGTAAATAAGCCAAGCTTTAATTTCACGGAGCTTGAAACAGTAATGCGTTATTAGTGCTAACTTTTTTATTATTTCAATTATAGTCACATCTACAGTGCTTATTAAAACTTAAACAAACATAAACCATTGTGCAGCTTCACTGACCAAAAGGCCATAGACCTGCTGTAGATGCAGTGATGAGTGAGTTAACCTCTGTCAGTCATTCAAAGGTGCTGTCGATGGTTTCGAGAAAATACGATGGCTGTTTCCTGTTAATCGCACACAGTGAATCATTTTCAGCATGAAAAGTTACTCATAGGTTGGAACAAAACAGAGGGACACTGGATGAGGTAAAACATCAGTTTTACTGTAATAAGTGTTGTATGTTTAAAACAGCCTAATATCGTTTCAAAATAAAAATTTAAACATGAAACCATAATAATTTTCTCCTAAATCCTCTTCCTCTGATTGCAAATGTGAAACTGTTTAAAAATCCTATTAATCAGCGGTGCCACCTTTGTCGTTCGCTGGTTTCTGAGTTTTTACTTCACTCTGTCTCTCTCCCAATAAC